TTCATTGCACAGGTCTTAATGTCTTATAATATGTTGTCCTGTTCTTTCCTTTGATGAATTGTCACACTAACAAACTTTTGCAGGTTAGGGAAACCTACGAAATGCCAAAGAATCTCCCCCCTGCAAGCGCTTACTACATCTAGTAGTTGTTCTTTGCCTGGGTTAAGTTGATCTGATGCTAATAGGTCATCTCACAGCTGGCACAAAGAACAGAATTCAAAAGGTGCCAGATAAAATAGATCGACGACTAGCTAGCTCAGCCCTACCAAAGTAGACTGCCGTGTCCAGTCCATCAAAAAACGTCGTCCTGTCTTCACTCTTCAGAGAGAGACCAGGGAGTCATAGCTCAGCCCTACCAAAGTAGACTGCCGTGTCCAAATCCATAAAAAACGTCAACCATGTCTTCACTCTTGAGAGAGAGACCAGGAGTCCACACACGAGATAGCGACCAAAACACCAACCATGGCTCATCATCACTAGCTCAAATTTATGACACACAAGACAAGTTACACCAAGCACGAAAGCAGACAAATTAAGAGGAATAATCATTTTTCTACAGGTTGTAATTTGTAATTCGATAGGTGGCTAGTCCTACCCTGAGACTTGACCCCGGCCCTCACAGAGAACACGTACAGAGAAAGTGAAGAATCACCATGGTTATCAGCCATGTCTGATCCACAGATCAAGCCATCGTGGCCCCACAACTAAGAGAAAGTGAAGAATTGGATTGCGAGGGACCGGCCAAGGCTCAGGAGGTAATTCAAAATAAACCAATCAATTAAGGATGCTTTAGGGTCAGTTCTAATTTTTGAGAAGGGATTACTGGAGCACTTTTCTTAAAATAATTATTCTGACAGTACATACAAACATACAAGACACATAAATGATAGGACTCGCTACAATAATTACTAGATATCCACATTAAATTCATCCTCCAAAAAAGTTCACCATATGCAGGGGAATATTAAGCTACGACGAGATAGGACTCGCTACTACAAACCAATAAGCATTAACTGATCATCAGCAACAAAAGAGAAAGACACAAGCAGAGCCAAAAACTTCACTGCAACATGGGATCAGAAACAATGAAATCAAAATAAAGTTTCACTATTTTGATTTCAATATGGGATCAGAAACAATGAAATCAAAATAAAAACTTCACTCGAGCACACAACAAGCAGGCTTAACAATATTATTACCTTGCTGACAGCCTTCAGTGTGTACCCTCCTCCAAACCTTGGATCTTTGCACCTGAATTCAGTTAAAAAATCAGGATGTTAACTAGCCATCAACAAGCTTGATGTACAACAATGAAACCAATCATAGATATAAAAGGTCACAAAAAAAGGATGACACATGATGTATACAAACCAGGGAAGAACAGCCTAAAAGCTGGCAATGCTTCTATCTGTGGTGCACACAAAACCTGAAAAAAAAGACACATTAGCATGGAGGAACTGATTGAGATAAAAACACACATCGTGGATTCAACCAAATCTTCACTACCTAAAAGAGCAAGAACAACAAATGAATGACAAAGGATGATGCCACACACTGAGACTAATACATTCTACTAAAAGCACTAAATAGACATACTGAAACTACAACAGAGTGTACTGAACCTTGTATGCAACAGAGGAAACAACACAAAAGAACTGAATCTGATTGAATCATGAGTTCAATAACTCATAAACAAAATAATAAAACTGAAGCTGAACCTAAGATCTCTCAGTATACGTATCATCCCAACTGGAATGCACTGGAATGCAGTGTGGCCACTGCCAGATTGAAAACATCACCACAAATACGTGTAAAGCATCCATGAGTTAATCATCCCAACTGGAATGCACGCTCCAATCCGCACAGTCCAACTGCAACTACAGCACGGTAGGGTAAAGAACCAAACATGCTCTTAATATAACGTTTACGTGACAAAGAATGTCGTTGGAACCCGTTAGGACATGGACGTCGCTTAGTTGCTGTCCTAGATAGGTCAACAAAGCCTAGGACACAACTTGTTCTTTTGAGACATAAGAGGATATGGTATTTTCAAAATCACTCCTAGTTTTCATCTCCAAGAAAAGAAACCCAGTGCTAAATGCATGCACAGTGAAATGATAACTGAATGTACACAGGATCCATCCAGCAGTTCAGACAATTTCAGCAACAAAGAACATACTAGAAAAAGGTTGGTTCGCAACATACTTGCTACTGCTATTGCTAACCCTCTTCAAGTTCCAGCTCTTGATCTGAAAAATTAAATTTTGTTTAGTTACCAGGAAAGAAAATAATACAGAAAGATGTCCCATAGTTTCAAATCCAAGTTTTATATCAAAAACTCAAACTGAAAGATACATAGACTAGCAGTGTCACATGCATGCATCTGGACATCTGGTACAGCAGGAAAGAAAACATTACAGAAGCGACACCATCACAAAATGCTGCTGCTGCTGTCTAGTGATAACTATCATAAAGCTTACTGGTGGCATTATTACTACCGCGTAAATTCATTAGAAAAATATTTAGTACAATATCTTGTCACAGCCAACAATTGTGACACTGCAGAAAATAGATAGAAAATACAAACACAGACCTCATCATTGCAGAAAAAAGCTAACAATTTAGGAAAATTACATCAAAGATAACTACGAATTAAACTAAATCAACAATTGTAAGAACAGTTGAACTCTACTGTAAACTACGAGCAATTACAACTGAGCATGATAGCTACGAGCTACTACAGATAAAGTATGGAAGGACCGAAAATCAATTCAGATAAACAGAGAAGACAAAACAATATTGACGCTGACTATAACTCATATATAAGAAAAAATATAACTACTGTGTAACCAATTAATTTAAATAGATCACAAAAAAACATCATCAGAGACATTGAAACTGTAGGAACCAAGCTCAATTTGGCATAAAGTGAATTGCCTACTGCATCTTAACCAAAAAATAACTAAAAATCAATTGAGATTTATAGTTAAGCAAGACCATGATTGTTTACTTGAAAGATACAATCCCTATCAAGTTGCCCCTCCCCGTCACTACATCTTGCTGTCTCCTCCCCTATGACCTTTCGTTTTTCGACAAATCTCCACTACCTGTCCTCAATCAACCACAAATACCCCATCAAATACTAGAACAATCCATCAAACCAAACCCTAATTAACAAGGACTAACAGAACACCACCCCATTTGCAAAAAAAGTTCACCAAAAATCTAAACCACCATTCAGAAAAAAAAAATTCAAAAACTGAAGATGAACCACAGTTGTAAAAGACTAAACACAATAGATCAGCAAATCTAAAGAAACCCTAACCATACTATAAAGAACAAATTTGACAATCCAACACATCTCCATTCCGACATGAACAAAACAAATACCCCATCAAATACTAGAACAATCCATCAAACCAAAACCTAATTAACAAGGAATAACAGAACAAACCCTAGACGCATTCAAACCCTAGACCCATTCGAACCTCACCCACACATGAGCAAAAGAGAAACACAGGTCAGAGAAACTAGCTAATCATGGTCGTGGCCTCAAATCATGGTCGTGGCCTCGTGGGGATCCAACCAGCGAGCAGAGAGGGGGCAAGCGCAGACGTACTTTGCGAAGTAGATCTGACGCACAACTACAGGCTAAAACCTAAGAGTTAGGATGAAATCACCATAAATCTCGTCACCATGTAGCTAATCCCCACGGCAAAAAAAACACGAAGCGGAGCCACGGATCATTCGTTCTCATGCCAAAAAACCCAAACCAAACATGGCGATTTAACACAGAGCCCACATCCATCACACACACCAAAATCCCGGCGATGAAATGAAGAAGACATCGAACCAACGCCGTAAAAAATAGATTCACAAGGAATAAACTCGATCCCTCATCCAAACACATCACTAATGCGAGAACGAACCCTAACAACAATGATTTACTAGCAAACAAGAGAGCGAAGCCAACAAACTGGCCAAATCCTAGAAATCGCGATGGCGCCGACGGGAACGAGAGACCACCGAGGTCGCGCCACGATGGGGAACGAGAATCACCAGAGTCGCCGCCGATGGGGAACAAGAGCACCATGAGGTCGCCACGACGGGAAACGAGAGCACCACAAGGAAGACGCGGCAGATCTGGGACTGGGTCACTGGGAGAGTGGGAGGGAAAGCTCGTCGGTCGGTCGCCCAAGGAGAGTGGCGTGTCGCCTGGAGTCGCCTCGAAGAAGCCGAAGAGTCTGAATGGAAATGGGGTGGGGGTGGGGGGGAGGTGGGGACGGACGCCACTGAATCGGACGCGACTCCCGAAAAATCAAAACTGTAGCGCCAGGGTCCACAGGTCAGAGATACAAAACAGATCGGACGGACGGACATGCCAGCAGCGCGACGTCGACCGACCAGCAGCGCGCGATACAGATCGGACGGACAGAAAATCCATGTGCCAACCAAGCAAAAAACACCCATGTGTTGTATAGCATTCCTGAAAACATTAAACTCCATCAGAACTCTCTCATCAAAACAAAGAAAAAGAAGGAAGCAAGCCACAGAGTGCTTTCCCGTTAAGCATACAGTGATACATTGAGCCAGAGACATCTCCTTTAGCTTCTATAGGGGGAAAAGAAAAGGAAGGAAACTGCAGAGTGAAGACTTAAGGAACGACTATGTGATAATAAGTAAAATTAAATGTCAAAAGCATTTCTCGCGACAATGATCACTCCAGGTCAAGATTGTTCCATCCCATTTTGTTACGTGTTCAATCATCATATTAGTCAAACGCTAATGATTCAATCTTTTATTACAGCAATGCTTAAATGAGGAAGATTCACTCTGTACTCTGCTCCTTGCGCAGAGCACCCCCCACATGACAGATTTTCAGAATCTGGATTCTGAGTTTCTGACTGCACAGCAGCATGGCAGGATCTACCACCATCTAAATCAGAAATAGAACACGGCTTAAGCGAATTCATGAAGATGGTAGCACATCACCACTTGACCTAAGCTTCGATCCGCATGTTCCAGGTCATGGTGAAGCTCTTCCCCAGCGGCAATGCCAGCCCGCTGACCTCCACCATGACGCCGTTCTTGCTATCCTCGACGCCTTCTTCCCCTTGCAGCTTCGCGTTGCCACCCGCCGCGAAGTAAGGGCTCGACGTCGCGACTGCGGTGGCATCCGCGCCGTCCACCTGGATGGCGAGGTCCTTGCCGGTACCCTCCAGACCCAACACCGACAGCTTCTCGATGACCAGCCCCTTGTGCAGGCTGTAGCTTCCCATCAGCACCTCCGACCGCACCGTCACGGCCTTGCCGCGCACGCTCGCGTGGAAGCGCGCGTACGTCGCCTGCCCTTCCGCGAGGACCATCTCCGGCCGCTCGTCGTCGTCCACGTACACCGCGCCCTCCGCGTCCGCCTGCGTCGCCCCGAACGGGAACGCGACCACGAGCGTGAACGGCGTCGCCCGGGCGTCCTTGGAGACGAACCCGCCGCGCTGCATCGGCAGGATCGTGTTCTGGTACACGTGCACGTTGATCTCGTTCAGCGGCGCGTCCAGCTTCACTGGGGCGCCGCTCTTGGACACCACCACCTTCTTCATGTCGAACAGGTTGTACCAGGTGCCCGGTGGGAACATGGCGCTCACCGAAGTGGCGCCCTGCTCCAGGACCGGGGACACCATGACGCTGGCGCCAAGCAGGAACTGCGTGCTCAGCCCGTAGCACGGCGTGAAGTCGGGGAAGGAGAAGAACACCGGCCGCGCCACGGGGGCCCCGGTCAGGTGTGCCTGATAGCTGAGCGTGTACAGGTAGGGGAGCAGCTTGTACCGCATGCCGAGCGCGTTCCGCGCCGACTTCGCCACGGACTCCCAGACGTAGAGCTCCTGCCTCGGTGACGCGAAGTTGGCATGGTCCCTGGAGAACGGGTAGAAGGCCCCGAGCTCAATCCACCTGTTGCAGAGCTCCTCAGTCGGCGACGGGTAGAAGCCACAGATGTCAGAGCCAACCATCGGCATGCCGAAGATGCCAAAGTTGAGCATCGTCGAGATGGAATAACGGAGATTTTCCCATGTGCCCTTGTTGTCGCCGGTCCAGTGCGCGGCATATGCTCCCGACCCGACGAACGTGGAGCGGGTCAGAATGAACGGCCTCTTCCCCTGCAGCCCTTGCAGTGCCTTATGCGTGGCAATGGCCTGCGAGAAGCCATACAGACTGTGTGCGTTGTACTCCAGGATGCCATTGTAGTGTGTAGCACTGGTTGCAATGGTGTTGAAGCCGAGACGAGCAGTCTGCCCAGAGGCATTGATCTTGTATGGCGGCTCATCCCATCTTGTGTTTGTAATGTTCTTGCAATCCAAACAACAGACCCATGGTGTCTTGGAGTCAGGAATAGGGCACTGGTGCGTCTTTGGGATTGTGCACTTGCCCGTGCAGAAGTTGGAGGCCTCATTCATGTCAATCCAGAGCCCATCCACCGGGACCAAATCATGAAACCTCCGCACCTCATCAATCCACCATGACGCACCGTTGGGGTTGAGAAAGTCTGGGAAGTAGACAGGTCCAGGCCACACCTGGGCGAGGTATGGCTCCCCATCCAGTTTGATGAAGATGTCACGTTCCATGCCACGCTGGTAGACGCCATAGGAGTTGTTCACAGCAATGCCAGGGTCGATGAGGACAATGTACTTCATCCCTTGTGCATGGATCTTGTCAAGGAATGCCAGCAGTTTGGGGCGTGGGTAGTTGACCGGGTCAAGTGTGAAGTCCTTAGCGGCATCCATGTGGTCATCATCATTCCAGATCACGTCCAGCGGTATCTGGGCATTCCGATAACCCTCCACAACGCCCTCTACCACTGAAAGGTTCTTGTACCCCCACCTACATTGGTGGAACCCTGAAAGACAAGCACATGGAGTACTCAGAGAGTTGAAGAATTTCACGGTACAAGAATTTATGGGTAGTAGCATGCAGGCAGCAAGTTTCAGTTTCTTGATAAAGCAGCTACATACTATTTCATACAGGAAATGGAAATAATGCACTGTCTAAAATTGGAATGGGAAAAGAAAAATTGTTAATGAATTGCATCCGTGAATCACATTCACTTTCACACTTCAACTCTATTGTACTGACAAAAGCAAGAAAATGGTAATAGTAACTGGTCAACAAGTACGGCAAGAAATTCAACACGCGCATGTGCATTGGCAAAATTGATTGTAGTGTGAGTTATTTCTCAGGGTTCTGATCATCAATTTTCATGGTGGTCCGTGAATTGGGCAAGATCAGTACAGAGCACATGGAAGGCCTTATCCTTATAGGTAACATGGCCTCACTAGCGGATGAAACTAACTGACACACTATCTTGTAATGGGAAGCTGCATTTGGGAAGTTATATGTTTGATAGTTGATACAGAGATCGACTTGCAATTTCCTAAAGAATGATAATACAAGTAAATTCCAGTTCCCAGGCTTCCAGCAAGGCACATCAAGATGCCAGATTTTGTAATTATCATGATGTACAAGCCTACAAACACTAGTGAACAAAAGTTTCAGTATTTTATTTGGCAGGAAGATCAAGCAAACTGCATTTTTTTCTGATGAAAGGAATTTCACACATCAGTGGAATACTAATCTACTGGGAGTAAGACACATTGTACGCTTATCACTGTCTCCCCCGGTATTCGATCAGTGGGTGCCAGGGTGACAATGCTTCATCCATTGCATTAGTCACTCTGGAAGCAATGAATGTTTGTAGCAAATAGTTCATAAATTGTAGACTATGATATTCAGAACAATGAACATGCACATTTGATGTAGTTCATGTACTGAAAGCAAATAATCAGCAAAAGCAGCAGCACTGAACATGCTGTATGAGAAAAAACCAATTGATGCATAACGTTTTTCTCAGATTTCTGAACTTCAGAACAAGCTGCTCCATCTGCTAGCAGTCTGCACTGTGCATGCATATCCTTAGCATTTACTTTACACGGAACTAAACCAGTCGCACTAAGTTTTCTAATCTGCATGGTTAGCAGAAGTGCTTTAAGGGGATATTGCAATACTGGTAAACTGAAAGGTAGTATACTGGATTATGCCATGATGTCCATGACATGGGAGTATTCTACTTTATAACAAAGAGACTCTATTTGACTTTTGAGCAAAGAGTTCACATGATGCGATTGACAACTAGTTACTATAGAGCCGGCATGCTTATCACTGTCTAGTGAGTAGTGACACCTGATACAGCAAATAAACTGCCCTATCTGTCACCAAATATCTACATTAGTGTGTGTCAGAGTATGGCATCCATGGAGTCAGAGAAGGCTACATCTCATTAGTGAACCTGAAAGTTAGCTAGCCATGTCAGCAGATAAAATATATGATCGAATGGATCAAACTAATCAGGCAACAAAGTATCCATCCATGGCATCAGATAAAACTAAATGTTTTCAGTCAATCTCGATCTGGCAGTAAGCTGACCATAGCTTAACCAAATGATTGGGCCAATCAGGAATTTAGCAATCCATAACTTAAGCAAATGATGTATCCTCCTAATCTGACAATGAGTAAAGGACAGCACAAAAAACGAAATAATTAGACTTTGAAAAAGGCAGTCCTTACCAAATGCCCAGTATGGCATGGGCGCGGGACGGCCGATCATCGACGTGTACTGATCCACGATGGCCAAGGGCGTCGGCCCGGCGAAGAAGTAGAAGTCGAGAAGACCTCCGATGACCTTGTAGGTCAGCGAGGTCCCCCTGTAGAACACGTCCATGCCATTGCTGTTGAGCAGCAGCACGGCGTGCGCGACGCCGCGGCCGCCCAGGCTCCGGAGGTCCATGTACACCGGGTGCGAGCCGTAGAGGTCGGTGTTGAGGTTGATGGCGGAGATGTCCGTGGTGTAGATGGTGTAGGGGTCGTTGGGCCGCAGCCGGATGCCCCCCGGCTGCGTGTTCTCGCCGAGACCGTACAGGGCGGCGTCCTTGGGCAGCGCCGTGGACACCTCCAGGTACTGGTCCTTGAACACCAGCGCGCCGGCGCTGGTGTTGAACAGCGGCTGCCCCGTGGACCGGCGGTGCACCGCGAACCAGAACGGGTCACGCCCATAGGTGAACACCAGCTCCTCGCCGGGGTACTCGGCGCCCGTGAAGGGGCCGCCCGTGACCTTGCCGCCGGTCACGGGTGGGGCTGGCTCCCTTGGGAGCAGGTTGTAGGGGACCTCCCACCTCTGCTCATCTGCATCGGTGATCTGCACGCGCACCCTGTCCCTGGTCTCGTGCCTGCATAGCATTTCACCATTAGAAGATGGCCTCAGGTAGTTTTTTTAAGCCATCGCAAAGTTCAGGCATGCTCTACATGATTGGAAGTCTTAGAATACTTAGGAAAACCATGGTTTGGAGAGTCTATGCAGGTGAACATTCGCTGTAAAATCAGTAAAATATCGACCTCATGGTCATACTTGGGACCAGATGCAGATGAGCTCATTGTCAACCAATAAAACATGACCTCAGGGGAAGAATGGAACACTACTGATTGCAGTCCAATCTTAAAATGTTCCTGAATAATTCCTTCTGTTCTACTAGCCGTAAATCTAAATCGATTTGTCTTGAAGAATTTAAGCAATTGATTATTACAGCAACCAACATTCTCCTCGAAAGTACTACAGGGATGTGTGTCAACACTTCAGACTAGAACAACCGCGGGAAAGGAAAAACGAAGAACAGGAGCTGCTGATTTGCTGCTTGGCGAGGAGAAGCAAGTTCTTACTTAACAAAGAGCCTGAGGCGAGGGATGTCAGGGCCGTAAGTGGAGGTGCGCTGCTTCACCTGCAGGTAGCCCACAAGGCCTCCCCCGTTGGGCAGCTGAACAAGGGACACCAGCTTGTACCCGAACCCAACCTTCGGCTCTGCTGTGGCGACCGCGCCATGGCTGCTTGCCAAGGTGAGAAATAGAAGGCACCACAGTAGGTAGGAGAGGATGGCCGAGCGAGAAAATGACAGCATTTCGTTGTGCTCCGTTGGTTTTTTCCTCACTCCCTCACGAGCTCCCCTTTGTAAGTTTGTACAGCTACTCTATGGCCACTGGCCTGCAGCGTGAACTGTGAACTAAGAAATGCAAGACAGTGAGGAGGAGATGCCTAGAGAGAGAGAGAGAGAGAGAGAGAGGGGGGGGCTCCTGTGGTAGTGAATACGAGTAATGGCGGGGAGTGAGCAGTGGCAGCTCTGAGCAGCTCTGCATGCATTGAGTGGCATGTCCAGTGGATACCGATGAGGCGATGACCGAACCTTTTCCTCCTTTATAGACTCTGTGCCCATACATCAATCACTGATAAGTGGACCCAGCTGATTTGCAGAGAACGGAATGTCAGCTTCTGCTTAAGGGCGTCCACATCTTATTTTTTTCAAAAAAAAAACAAATACATAATAAAACAATACTAATATTTATGATGTATGATAAATACTAGTAAATTAATCATGACATATCTTTTATAATAAGATTTTTAGATATACGAATATTAATGTTAACAAAAATACTAATATCTCGAAAATCAAAATGTGTAGCTATTCTAGGACACATGGAGTAGCAAGCTTGTTGCCAGGGAGCAAGGAATAAATAAAAGGAAAAATGAAGAACAAACATAAGTTCAATGTCTATGACAATATGAAAGGACCCAGTATCAGTGGTCCTTTGCTATTTCCTTCCCCACAATAATGTCCAGCCCATAAGGTCAGACCCACGTAACAATAAAAAATCCCCATATCGCTCCTTCCGATGCCGCGACTCCTGCCGCCGCCGTTCTTTCTCCGCTCGTTCTTTCTCCGCTCCGACTCCGCAACTCCTGCCGCCGCCGTTGGTTCCTGCCGCCTCCGCACGTTCCTTCTCTGTCCAGATGGACCTGCCATCTCAAATCGGCCTCGTCTTCACGAATAGGATTCTAGCTTCTTCCTCCTCATGCCCGGCGTGCAGATGGTGGGCTTGATGGCAGGCCGCGGATGGCTACGGCGGAGGCGGCGTGAGCGGCTAGAGCAGCGTCCTCGAGGGCGACGCGGATGGTCGAGGCGGCGTCCTCGCGGATGGCTGCCGCACCTGTGCGGGCGGCGCAGATGGGTGTCGCATCCTCGCGGGAAGAGCAGATGGCTGCGGCGTCCTCGAGGGCGGCGCGGATGGCCCTCGTGGGCAGCACGGAGGACCGAGCCGGCGCCATCGCGAGCGGCGCGGACAACCGACGGGAACAGGCGAACGGCAACGGCAGGAACTCCTGATAGAGAGAGAAAGTAATATTTTTAATGCTTATGGGTGGTATATAGGTTTATGGGTGAGCTTGTTTAGTTCGCTAAAAGTTTTTTCAAAAAGTGCTACAGTATTTATCACATCGAATCTTTCGATACGTGCATGAAGCATTAAATGTAGACGAAAAATAACTAATTGCACAGTTTTGTTGAAAATTGCGAGACGAACGTTTTAAGCCTAATAAGTCCATGATTAAACACTAATTACTAAATAAAAACGAAAATGCTACCGTAGCTGAATTTTTAACTTTTCACTAACTAAACACGGGCTGACTTTTATTGTGGACTGCTCTATGACCAATGCCATGATGTTTCAGGCAGTTTGTAGGAAATAATTTATTCACTATGGATGGTTTTGGGACACATTGTGGTTGCTCTGAATGTCTCTTCATAGCGTTATTGCTCCTGGCGTGTACATTGGGCTTGTTTGGTAGGAGATTTAGACAACTTGTTTGGTAAAAATTGTTGCCCAAAAATTACTTAAAAATTTGGTCGACTCTGCTTGGACAGGCAAGTTAGGTCATAGTCTGCTCTCGTGCCTGAAAAGCGCTAATAAGAGAGAATAAAACATTAACTTGTGTTTAATTGTATTGTATATGATTAGTCGAACTCTTAATGATTCTTTTAGGATATTAACGATTTATGTTTTATTTTTTAATTTATAATCACTAAGAAATATGCTCGTACATAACAGCAACGGAATGTACCGTTTGTTGTACGGTCACCCAAACAATCTATATTTTAGAGATTAATCTAACAATCACGCCATATGTTCCAATATTTCTTACAAGCCAACTTTATATCATTGTTGGACATGTCTTGAAATCAAACTTCTCATTGTCATGCGCTAACTTGTTTGAAGACGAACTGTGAAGTCCGGATTATATACACGATGTGTGGGGCTGGAGGATGGGGAGGCTGCGATGGCAGGGGCAGACGGCATGGGGCGCCGGAGGAGGCGAAGGTTGCCATGGTGGAGGTGGCAGCGGGGCGCATGACGGAAGAGTGATTTTTCACTATGATGGGGCCTACCTTACTGCTCTCATATTTTGTGAACCCGAATTGCAAATATTAATTTTTGCTGTCCTCGCCCTTACTTACAGGCTGCGCTTGCCCAAAGGATGGATCTCATTTTCACAATAGTTGTCTAAAATAGAGAAAAGACAGAAAAATAACAAAAAACCTTAGAACTAATATAACTGTCTGAGATGTTTGAAGTTTGATCTGTCAAGGATGACATGGATGCCAAATTATTATTTGACACATATTTTGTAGTTCATATGCAAGTGATTGTTTTTAAAATAAATTGGTAAAAAAAATACTAGTACATGCATTAGTAGAGCATAAAAAAAGTTACAAAAGGACAATTAAAACAATTATCTTTGCGCGAACAACCAAGAGGCATGACGTTCGAAGGTGCTGTGAATACAAACCAGAAGGGCGATAAGTGTTTATAACAATGCCTGCAACAAGAACCTAATGCAAAAGGCGTCACCATTGCCAGGTCAGAAAAATCAATTTTCGAAGAATTCATGGACATTCGGTTTGGAGAACCGGACATATGGAAAGTGTTGTCAACCTAGAAAAATAAAAATTTGATTATTTTCCTGACATCTGGTCAGGACCGGACATCCGGTTTTAGCTGTTTAGAGCAAAAAACAGTTTTTCTTAGGCCCCGTGTTGTTGTATTCTAAGCTAAAAATTTAGCTATGCACTTTTAGCATTTTTTTCATGGGATCCAAACAGAGGGCTAAAAGTGAGCAAATGGCTAAAACTAGGCTAAAATTTTATGCTCCCAAAAAGGCCATAAACTGGGCTAAACTGCCTCGAGGCAGGCGTTGGACACCCTGTAGGGGACTGTGACGTCTAAGAGGGGGTGAATTAGGCAACTTAAAATTCTAACTCTAAAATATGGCCTCTTTTTCTAACCCTAGCAAAACCTATGCAAAAGATAAACTATCTAAGTGTGCAACTATGGCTTTACTAGTGTATTGCTATCTCTATCGCAAAAGGAGTAATGTAATCAATGTAAATGCGGAAGCTAAAAAGCAAAGTAGAGATATGCAAACTTCCGTCAACGACTCCAGTATTTTTACCGAGGTATCGAGAAGCGCGCAAGCTTCCCCTTAGTCCTCGTTGGAGCCCCTCGCAAGGAATCCCTCGCAAGGATCAAGCTTCCGGTCGGGTAACTATGTGGATAGCCTCGGGCCTTCCCCACGCGCAAGTGGGTCTCCGACGTGCCTTCCGGCAAGCCTCTCCCGGATGCTCCCCGTCGTCTTCACTATCAAGCTTCCGGACGAAACGTCGCGGGCCTTGTTTTCTCTGGTACACGGTGACGCCCACACCACAAACGCGGTTGATGTGATCTCGCAAGACTACAAGCCCCTCCGATGTACAATAATGATGCGCGCAAGCATCGAGTGGTAAAAGATATGCAAACCTCACTAAACACTAGGCCTAAACCTAGAGCAAGCGCATAAGCGATGGTTTAATCAATCTATGCACTTCGTAAAGCACCTATGCTAATCATCTAATGAATCACTAAGCACTATATAAATGTAGATCACTAAAATTGTGTATCAACACCCTTGATATATTTCCTCAGCTCCACACTTCTCAAATGACCGGTTGGGAGGTCTATTTATAAGCCTCATTATAATATAGCCGTTGGGGAAAAATCCCGTTTTTCTCACGCATGTCGATTTAGAACATCAACCTAACGCGTCTATCGTCCCAACCGTTAGAGCCGCGATCAATTTATCGACGCCGCATATCCGATGGCATTTCAATTTTCATAGTTTCTAGAAAACTATTTGTACTTCGATCGGTTTTGTTGTCCTGCGTCCGGTATTCTCTTCATGTTAAAATTAATGTCAACACTGCTTTCCTCGCTTCTAGTCTTGATCGGAACCACATATGTACCTGCTAATTAATTCTTCCGGTCTAGCGTTTGTTATCACCTCTATGAGCTCATTTCTTTATGATCTTGCGTCCGGCTTGGTTCCTATCTTCGTGTTTGGACTTTACTCGATATCTTGGATCTTCTCTTATACTTTTAAGGTCTTGCTTAAGGTGTTGACCATCGGATCATCACGTCTTGCACCCTATTGAACTACAAAACAATCACTTGCAAATTCATTAGTCCAATTTGGTTATGTTGGTCATCAAACACCAAAATCCAAAGTAAATGGGACTATGGTCCATTTTTCTTACATGACCCATACCCCTTGCCGCTCGCATGCATGGCTGTGCATGGATAATTAAATGAGGGTAAATCAGTCATTATAGATTATGGGACTAAAGTTTAGCCCATGGATCCAAACAGCCCAGCAGAACTAAAGTTTAGGGGCTAAACTTTAGTCCTTAGACTAGTGATCCAAACCCCACCTTAGTCTTCTTTCGTAGGGATGTTTGGGCAACTAAAAAGGCTTAGATGGCCACTCTAATGCAAAATATAAATAGTTTTAATTGCTATGAAGCTCTAAATGCCACAACTTATCATCTTGAATAAAATTGGAGGGTTGTCGATCCCCAAATGTGTCATTTATATTTAAATTAAACCTGCTCAAACACTTATCAACGTGTTAGTCCTTTGATTGCTTGTCATTAATTCACCAAAACCCACGACGGGGCAAAATGCACTTTCATCTATACCCGGTGTATTTGTCTCTCAATTAAGAAGAAATAATATTTGCTTGCATGTTGTGAAAATTTCTTTATCAGCAGAACATCGTTTTTGGGCAATGTTGAGTACTGCCAAAGCATTATACTATTGTGTTGTAAAAACTCTCAGGCTTAACACGCATGCCATTTAGAACATCAACAATATCTATACAACAAAGCTTTGAAATATAATTTATATAAAATATGGCATTTCAATATAGTTTCTATGAAAACTATGCCTTTTCAAACAAGAGGTAATTAATATTTTTAAAGTACTCTCTTCATGTTAAATTAATGTCATAGCACGAACTAATATTATCTGTTAGCATATGTATATTAGCTTTTCATAGTATTAATATATGCTTAAAGTTTTAAGAAACACTCCTATATTTCAGGTGCCTGAATTTTAAAATAATTTTATACAATAGTCTTGTACAACCACCTATTACAAGTAAATTATTCTTATTGTGATTTGTTATTTCTCATTTGTCTTTGTACCATAATATATCAATTTTTTGCCCTTTTTAGATTTTGTCAGGTATATGGTTTTATCTAAAGGTTTTTTTATTCTCGAAACAAAAAATTACAGATTATGCCCATATAAATTACAATAAACTAAAGCTACAATTTTAATATAAAATATATGTAATAACCATCGTATGAAATGAAGCTAAAGTTTAAGGACCTGAATTTTAGCAAGTCTCTTTAAGGGAAGCTTGGCACCATATATAATTGCTAAAAGCACATGCATTACCAAAAGACATTTTTATATCATGACGGAAGTATCTACACCTAAGAATTTCATCCTTTTTTATCATCAGGACGCAGCCAAAAAGACATGGTGTTTTCTGATACAGTAAAAATAAAAGCTGCCGCGCACGCAACTCAACAGGCACTAGATCATCACCGAAAAGCAGAGGGAGATGGCCCCGCCCCAAAGCGCACCATTGTCGATGAGGCATGTTCGTTCTCGAGGCGCTGCAACCTTTCACTGATCACATCATCACACTCACAGCACCATTGTCTGGTCATCTGGTGCTTACTCATGCTTAGCGATTGGTAGGATGATTTACCACCTAGTCCCAGCCAGGCACCATTGTCGGGTGCTTTCGCGGTTGGGAGATTGAGAACAGACCAAAGCAGCTCCGGCACAAATTGGATTTTTGGAAGCAAGATGTTTACGTAAATCCGAAAACACTCTGAACGCACGATGTGCAGCTATAGGCCTATAGCTGCTGGCAACTGCTAAGTA